AAGAATTTCGACATTGTCAAAATCAATCTTATGTCCGCTGTCTATCGCATGTATTGCTATAGCCGATCTTTTTTCTAGACTTTTTAATTCTACTTCATTTCTAGGTGGACGTTTCGTGCAAAGTCTATGTTCATTCACTCTGACTTTCACCTGCCTATTGCTCTCCCCTATATAGCATGCCTCACATTCTGAACACTTTATCTTGTAGACACAATTACTTTGTGACATTTTGGGAACTATATCTTTAACATGCACTAAAGCTTTCTCTAGAGAATTAGAAGGTTTGACATAGACTTTAATATTATATGCAGCAAATGTTCAGCTGTGTCTTTTCGATATGGAATGGCTATCGTCGATAGCCAGGATTTTTCAACTTTTTGTTTTTTCTTATGCTTTTCTATTGATGATATTATCTAGTAGCCTTTCAGGATAACCATTTCCAATCAAAATCTGTTTTATATTGGTTATCTCTTTCTCCATATCATTATCAGTTATAATGTTTCTAGCTCTGTTAAAGAGATTTAAAGCTACTGAGACTTTCATTCCTATTGGATGATCTGATTGGAAATTCAAATACTTATTGGAATGTGTCGGCTTTCTGTATATGGTAAACTTCAGTTTCTCGTCAGTTTGTCTTTTTACAAGACAATCAAGAAAGTTTAGAGTTCCCTCCACCGATTCTATTTCATTAGTAAACTCAATATATTCTGAGATTGAGTTAATTTCTGTTAAAAAGTCTTCTTTTTCAGCTTTCTTTATGACAATAAATGTGTCATCTACGTATCTGTACCATATTCTAGGATGACAGCTAAGACTTGTCAATGCTTTCTTTTCTAAGGCTTTCATATATAAGTTTGCTACAATTGGAGATGCCGGTGAACCCATTGCAACTCCATTTGTTTGACAGTATAGTTTATCTTTAAATGTAAAATATGTTGATTCCAAACAAAGTTTTAAACATTTTATAACCTCATCTATTGATAATAAAGATTTACTTAATACTTCTTGATTGTTTTCAAGTTCATGTTTCATAATATCCAGTGACTCACATATAGGAATACTAGTAAATAAAGAAACCACATCAAAACTTGCCATAATCTCGTCTTCTTCAATAATTATATCCATTACTTTCTTTTTAAATTCATCAATATTTTTGATGTTCGAAGGAATATTGTATTGAAGTGGTTTCAGTATTCGTGATATGTATTTTGATAAAGTATATGTTACTGAATTGGTAAAATCGATTATTGGTCTTAAAGGAACGTTTATTTTATGTAATTTTGGCCTTCCATAAAATCTCGCGGCCGTGTTTGTCTTGGGAGCTATTGAGAACCAAACTGAATTCCCCAGTTTTGGTTTCAATTCTCTAAGTATATTGCATACTTGGGCTTTTACTTTGTTCATAGTACTAGACATTTTGTTTACTGGTACTAATGTGTATGGCCCTGTTTCGATATGTTCTAAAGCTTTCTTGTCGTAGTCGTCTTTATTAAGAATTACGGTGATATTGCCTTTGTCAGCTTTAGTAATAACAATAGATTTGTCTGATCTTAATGTTTGTAAAGCATGACGTCCGTTCTTCGATAAATTCGAGGTGACCTGCTTTTGATTCGATAGGATACATCCAACCTTCTGACGTAACTCATTAGCTTCATCATCAGGTAAAAGAGTTAATATAGGTTCCATGATGGGCGCTAATTCTATTGCTGTCAGTGGTTTTCGAGTTATGTTAAAGTTTAGTCCTTTTTCAAGTAATGCTGTTTCATGTACATTAAGTTCTCTATCTGATAAGTTGCATACGGTTCTTGTATTTGTGTGTACATTTTACTTATTTGCTCTGGAGTATGCTGCTTTCGGATTTATAAGCTTTTCAAATTTTCGAATTTGTCTTTGCTTCGTAGCATTGAAATGAGCGGACTTTCGTTTTTCGAATAATTGGTTAATTGTAGTTAGATGGTCTTTGGATAAAAGAATATTCAGACAATCATCAATATTATTAATTCGATAGTGATAATGTTGCATTGCTGATGTACATGGCAAACTCTTATGAAGCAAGACAAATGAAAAAACAACAAACACTCTATGAGCCTCCATGACCTTTAAAACATGTAGTGACACGTTTATCACATATGAATTCACGTATTTTCCATATGACAAATAACATACATACACACACACACACGCATACAAATCTAATCTTTACAAGTCAACTATAGAAGAGTAAACACAACAACAATTTGACATTAGTCATTACAAATATATGTGAGGACAGCTTACATACTTCTATTGGTGAAAAAAAATGTTCATGGAGAAATGACCTTCAAATGAACTGACTTCATTTAATGTAAAAAAAAATTTTTGACTATATATTTTGATGATTAAATCCTCCATGCAATCAAACAAAATCCCTACAAAAACCAATACTTGAAGATTAATTATAATCCGAATAAATCTGCTGAAGAAGCTGTGGCTTACACGGCGAAACGTTCAGAAAAATCTTGTTTTGATTTTCTTAACACGCTGGGATTAATTTAAATAATTTATAATGAATCAATCTGACTCGGCGCTCAAATTATTCCAGGAAATTCGTAACACCTACGGTCTGGAAACTTATAAACATGACCATATTTCGATGGTGTTAGGCAAACCAGAATGCAACGGCGTGATGATCAATCGGCGTAGGCGCGTTTTGAGGACAGAAGCAGTAGAGTTCCTAATACAAATCACTGGCATTGCATCAATGTTCAAAGACGTGGACACTATCGAGACACTAACCACTACCTACTCGCTTCACTCGACTCCGCAGTTCTCTCGGGCTGATCAACTTCTATCAGCGCTTTTTTCCTAATTGCTCTCCGTGCTTTCAACCCCTGGCCAATGCATTAAGGGGAATGTCAGACGACTACATTGCCGAAAGGCGCAAGCAGTGCGATCACATTGTTGAAAGGTGTTCTGCTGAATGCCGTAACCATAAAATATCTTAATGCAGGTAACCCTCTTGCATCAGTTGCAGACTCATTCAAATAGGCTGTGGGATCGGCTTTACATCAGCTGGTTCACAACGCCTGTGAGCCAACAGAATTTGTTTCTGAACAGACTTATCCTGCAGTAATATATGAATCGGACGAAAAACTGTGTGGCTAATGCAGTGTCTAGAATACAAGTGCATAGAGTGCAACAAATTACTGTAGACTTCAAAGACCTGGCCGAGCATCGAAACAACGACGGAGCGTTAAGGGATATCCTCATTAAAAGTAACTCAAGCCCCATCATGCATGAGTTTTTAGCATCGGCGTCAACATCTCAACACTTAGTTTCTAGATGATTAGTATTCCCTTTCAAAGCAAACATTTTCAAACGTTTAACAGCAGTGTGAAAACAAACCACCTAGCTAAGCGAAGAATCTAGATGGGGATTATTCATGAATTAAAAACAGTAAAATCACCTGAGCAAGGTGCTGACTAGCAGCAGAACCAAGGAAGTGTTTCGGTCTATTTAAGAGTTGTCATCTGCGTCCTGGCGAGCAATAGCATAGCCCCAATTGCTAGTAACCACAGTGTTACCCATTACGCTCCTAGAGGTAAGCGAGTTATCAGTTATTACTTGATAAAATCTGGGTTAGTTACTCCACCTCCTATCGTGTGCACTAGTTACTTTTCGTGACCAGTTATCAAGATGTCATGTTGGTTTAGTGAACCAATGGTTGATTAAACTCCTGCTAATAAAGTATAATTATATTCCACTGATTTAAACACGGTGATAAGTTCTTGTTTTCTGATAATATTTCGAAGGAAATTACCGTCCGTGTTCACACCAACTGTTGGAATTGTTTTTCTTTTTACTGATATAAACTGCCGCTTTTCAGAAAATATCCGGGTCTACATAATCTTCACCATTTAGCAAACCTTGTGCGTCGGCAGCACAGCGGTAGAGTGCTCGCCAAACACGCATGTGGTCCGAGGTTCGATCCCCGGCCGACGCACTCCTTTATCTCGCTAAATCAGTTATATGACTGGTAAAGAGGGTAGGTTGGACATGAGGCTAGCAGCCATGTCCCGTAAAAATAAATACCACTGCTACCCAAACTTCAAGCTTGAAGCCCTATGCCCCACTCGGAAGATAAAAGAATTAAAAAAATTTAGCAAACCTTGCAAGACCAGTGAACCATTAGAATCGACGAGGTGAAAAAACTTACAAGCCTGATAATAACGATACTCAAAGAAATATAAGAACGGTACAGTCAGAGGAGTGAGGTTACCACGTTACCAAGAAAAGTGAAGTCATACCGTTCACAAAACCAACCCACAAATAGTTTAGGAAAATGGCCGCAACCATATGTAGGAATGAAGCAAAATATAAATGAGTTGCAAAACATAAAGAAGGTTAGAAGGGCCCTATCAAAGTGGTACTTTCTGCCATCAGATACAAACGTATCAGGTAAGTGTAATGTATACTGTAGTACCCCTAAACAACTGGTGCATTACTTTGATAAGATCTTATGGGAATGCAAGACAAGTTTGCTAAACACTTTACCGACTTTCGCCTTAAAAAATGGAATCTCAGAAATTAATTCTATCCTACGATATTTCAGTATATCAGTGATGCAGAATTCTCAATAGCCAATTAGTAGAATTCTACTGCTGAACAAGGGGTCAGCAGCAGTTTATGTCATAGCTAACACTTTATCGATTGGTAGCTCGAATGGAGTGGGACTGATATTTTAGTCGGTGGAAATATGGGCGACCAAGTTAATCAGTTCGCCTGTTGAAATCCTGGATTTCGTCACTTAATACGAAACGAAGTGTGAGCCATCTTGCCTTTGAGATTCATAGCTTTTTGAACGCGGTACATGAGCACATTTGAACTTTGTTCTTATCAATCAGTGAGTGGTTATTGGTTTTACGATGTATGCAATGCTATTTTCCTTGCATTCTTCAATACCCTTTAGATTTATGCTAGCTGGTTAATCACCTTTAGTTTTCATTTGCTTTCTATTCTAGCCATGTTCACTTTCCGACAAACAATCCGTGTGTACCTATGATGATAATGTGCTTTTCAATCTATTAGCAGCTGAAATTCGTAAAACCTTGGAAATAGATCTGTTCGGTGTAGACCTCATATGTGAAGCTGAAAACTCAACACCTGATCCGTTCACAAAACCAACCAGATACGCTATTATCGATATCAATATCTTTCCAAGTTAGTACTCTAAGGAATATTTATTTCTTAAACGTTGTATTTAATGCTTTTCTATAAGACTCGTGAAACGAAGAATAACCCTGTCGTAAATACTATTGGTATAACACATTTTCGACACACAAGTGAAGTTTATGAGTAACCAAGAAGTGACATAACTTATGACCGATAATAATGAAAATCCATAATGGAGAGGCACTAACTACTATGAATTTAACTTCCAAATCAAATTTATGGAATGCTGTCACGAGGTGATTTTACGCCAGAAAAATCGACTTAACTCCACCGGGAGGGATTCAAATGTATCTCGAAAAATGTTTTACACTCAGATTTAGAGAACTCATATATATTACCTGGTATCCTTTTTAACGGGATAACCTCAAAATTGAAGTCGCAGTAATCTAGTCATATAATCATAAATCCCACCTCGCATTCACTTTTTTAGTCAACCTAGTCCTGAGGACTCCATTCCTTTTTTTGGTTTCCTCTGCGTATAATCTTTTGTAGTTGTTAGGTAAATACCTAAACACTACTCGATTGCACTAAACGCGGTGGTATCTATGATAATCTTCATTTCTGTATACAAATCATTTTATGTGATAGAGTATTTGCAGCTCTAGTTACGGATATTTTATATTCCTTTTGAGCTTTGGACTCTATCGGAAAACTTTTAGACTTTAGTCTAGGTGTTATCTGCAATACTGCTTCACAAAAATAGGTCACTTTACTAAACTAACTGAATAACACAGTTTGACAGAATAAAAACTGTGACTTTTGGTACCAATTCTTTACTTGCAACATCGTTCATAGTAACCAGTATTGGAAGAAAGATGTTTAAGTTGCTCCTACATCTTATACATGCTTCAACTAGATAAATGCAGTATTCGATATCATAACACCTGTCAAATGCATCTCAGATAACTTTCATGTAAGTCATGTCATCGCAGGAATTTATGGTACTCTTGTCTTAATTTAAGCTGAAACTGTTGTTTACACCCATAGGATATGAAGAATGTGATCAACGTACTGAAGAAAGTAATAATGTTTAATTAAAGAAAGTCTACAGAAATGTTTTTTGTTTAACTGACTTTTTCATAAAGTCAACAAATTATCATTACTCACTTATTATTCTATTTGAAAACAAAATTTTCATTTTAGGCTACAAGAATGTTCATGGATTTATCTTTCATTTAGAAAACCTAATCAGGAAGAAGCTCTCCTTACCTTTACTCTCTATCAATATTAATAACAATAATAATAATAATGGCAGCAACGGCGTAGAGTGAGCGAAGATAGTCTGTTTTTCAAAATCTTATTTTACTTACAAATCCTGACAGTAATCAGTCATGAATATAGAAAGACTTTAAATCTGATTATTTTTATACTAGATTTTGTGATAATCTGTTTGAAATTTTTTAAAAACACACAGTTGTTGTTGTTTTATTCTATTTTTTTCGTATAATACAATGACTAATTTTTCTAATTACATTCTCTCAACAATGATTTTTATTTTGTTCTATTAAACTACCTATTTTATATATAACAACAAATAGTTTTTGTACGAATTATTTGAACTATATGAGTGGTTAAATAAAACAGTAAGACAAAAACATCATTGTTTATTGTCCTTAAAGTTTTCTTGAAACCAAAGAAGTATAAAACAGTCCAATATTATAAGACATAAAATAGGCACTAGACCTCAAAGATCACAAGGAGTGGATGCATCTGCACCAGCCATTGAGAACAATTCTGAGCCATATCACTAATTGTTTCCAACCATTGGTTTTTACCGTCCTGAGGACGCTAACCAGTCAGGAAGTCTACACCTTCCTACGTGGCTTAGACTAACTGTTGTAGATTTCATTGACTGATGAAACCATGTTTTGGTTTGACCACCACTGGTAAGCTCTTTTCTAGCCTGACATTATGTCAGCTAACATTGCCCGTCGAACAAAGCGGTGGCTAGACAGCCACGCGTAGCAAATGTCCTAACCATCTCAGTCGATGTAATTTCACGGCCTCGTCGATTGATTTCCCCTCCTTACATAGCACTCGATGCCTAACCTCAATAATGCTCACCTTATTATACCACTTCACACGGGAGATAGAGCACAGGCACCTATGATCAAAGACAGCTAGTCTCTTCATGTCTTCCACTCTCAATGGCCAGGTTTCGCAGCCATTAAGGAGGACGGAGCGAACTCCTCAATGAATCACACTAGGTCAACTGGAAATGTACCTACACAATTTGTACTAAATGGCTTTGAATAACTAATTGTGATTTAGTGATTAATATTATAACTTTGCATACTCTGTGTTTACGATTCCCTTAATAATCCGCCTGAAACTGACATATATTGTCATAACTGATATGATTATGAACAATAAATTGTGTTCGCAACGTCATCCAGTAAATAATACTGTTTTATTGTGAGATATGTCTAATAAACAAACTAATATGGAAGTAATATAGTCAGTTCATCAGTGGACAGAATTTAATTGTTCTCCATCTTAATCAAACCACAATCAAACACCAAATGATATATACCTACTAATTTGGATATGAGTAGAACTTCGAATTCATGTGACTGCCTTACTGGGAAACGTTTCAATTTCCCAAACACTTTTGTGCTAAGTCCAAGTTCAACGGTTTATCTGAGCAAAGGTATTACTCGCCACTAAAGAATGGTCAGTAAACTATCCCACTTATGGGAAAAATTACACTACTTTTTGGACTTCATCGTGAAATGGTGATAATTGACCACTAAAACTATTATTTGCCTTCAATACATAGTTACTCATCGATGTCAATATAAATGGATGATCTATTTACAAAGGTCTGTTTAACGTTAAGCATTATATCAGCCAAGTTTTTCGCACTGAAATTGGGGAATTTTCAAGAGATAGTTGGCAGTTTCAATAGAATCGCATATTACCGCATTAGAAAACGGACTTAGAAAAATGAATACGTCAAAGAAAGCATCTTCTTTTATGATAAAAATATTACAAAGGTAGGGGCAATGCATCAACAGCTGTGTAGCATTTATCGTACAAGTCACCATACTGCTCATCACGTGTTATGAAAACAATGGGTATGGGAGTAACTGATGATACACATGCACCAAGATCAAATTTTGATGGAACATAGCAATAAGGAATATCGTGTTCTTCGCATACTAACGGCACATGTGATATGAGATCAAATGGGGAAATATCACCAGCTAACACAACGATGCCTGATGCTCCTTTTTTTTCTACTGCTTTAAGAATTGCCTTTATGCCAACCTCCGTCTTTCTTACACGTTTAGCTTTCCGAGCAAGCTTATATAAACGTTTTGTCAATTTCTCGGAAGCTAAAGGCTGAGCAAACGACCCGACAAACTGTGTTTGTTCCTCAAAAGTAAATTGTGGGTATTCTTGGTCAACGTGGCAACCGTCGCCTTCTTCCATTTTCATCATTTTTCCCAATGATTGTTTGCCCAGGAGGTCAGTCTAAAATAAATACAAAAGTCACTTGTGAATACACAGAAAAGCGACATAACTAATGTGTACCTAATGCTTGTTATTTGCAGTACTGGGTTATCTTAATGGATCTTTATATACTGGGCATAAGTTTCATATTATCTGCCATTGCAGTAAGTTTGCTTGAACCTTTAGGTTTTAAAATGCTTTAGGTTATTTAAAAGGACATGGACTATAGCGAGCAGCTGTCATGTGATTCATGTCTGCATAAAATTTCGAAATGCTTTAGATCACATCATGGATACACGTGCTAAAGCCCATATAAGTGTGACTATTTAGCTGCTCACTACTACACACGACTAACGACACACTTCTTCCATGAATACACTGGTTTTTCACTTACCACAACCTCCATACAAACAGAAATACCAGGGTATCTGGCATCACATCGCATCTGATATCCAAGTCGAGTTAATGCAGTGCACTAAGAAAAACAAAACAATGTGGTCAGACAACCGAGTTAACGTATCGAAAATGACTAATTGCTGCCGTATTTGGTAACAGCCAGGGATTCCTAACCATATTACTGTAAGTGTATAAACATTGGTTTTCGCGTTTGTGAAGCCAACAACGTTATATGAACTGTTTTCGACAATTCAAAAAGGTCGTCTGCTTCTTCTCGTCTGTTACTTTTCCACACCTTTTAAATTACTTCTAATCCGCCAAAAAAACAAATCCCAAGTAGTTGATAAGTCGGCATGGATAACCAACCACCAATCTCTTGGTATTTCTAATCGAATACTGATATCTTTGCGTATATTTACTAGGGGAGGGGGGAAGCCGAAAAAGTAATGTTAAGTGATTGATACGCAATAAAACCACCAACCGGTTAGACTGGGAAACAATTTCATCTCGACAACCGCCTAATCCAGCTGGGAGGAACATGAGAAAATACTATTCCGTAACACTAATAAGTGTAGAAATAAACGTGTTGCTGATTACTGAGACTAGTAGGATCTATGCCTTGAAGATATATTTGGTGCGATTAATTTTTTTTATTTGTCTAAATTGACTCCTATATGGCAATCATTTTCAAGGTATCAACACAGGCAAGTTGAGAAACTGAAATTACACATACATAAGAGCACTGTACTGACTAAATGAACGCCTATCTTGTATGAAAAATTGAAACAGACAGAGGAACAATGTGTAAGAGAGTCTCACGAGGACAGACCCAATTAATTATCACAAGATATATTATTGCATGGAAGATTATATTCAGTTATAACCTCAATGCATGATTTCAAAAGTAATTTTTGGAGGCTAATAGAATGATTTCTAGGGAAGTGCATGGGAATATAACCACTTCCTTCAAAGTCCCTGCAATTTCTCGTAATTGTTTAATGGATGTTTTACATCTCTAACCGAATGTGGCAATAGAATAAGTGTGACTTTTTATAAAAGTCTAAGACACACTCGTCAGACTCATGTCGCAAACCTAAAGGCCTGAAAAAACACATCACTTCCATGACCACCAGACCATCTAACATACCACGCTTGAGCCAGTTTAAAGCGCTCCGCAAGGATGAATCTTTAAGTCAACAGTAGTGCATTAAAACATATAGTGTTACGTATGTGATGAAAAGCTCTGCTCACTGATTTGATTATCGCATTTGTTAGAGAAACGCAATGAATTTGAGTTTATTGCGATACTTTTAGCATTACAAATCAATGAATAGTAAAGATGTCTGTTGAGCAATCAGCATTTGGAGAAACCGAAGATCATACATACGACATATATCTTTTGACTAATCTGAGGCGTTCATCCTGGTGTAATATTCTAGTTAATCAGTGCGTTCTTGTTAGAAGTTGTCCAGAAAATCTTGAGTCTCCCAAACTTAGGAGTCTATTGTAATAACGATATCCAATACCTTTTCCAGAGGCTTGTATAAAATTTAGCACACTCTTCTTACTTTATCGCAAAGGCTTTAAGCTCCTGGCAAATTTCGGTAATGTCTGCCCTCTCAGCTACTGCAGCTTTGCTGAATGTAACAAGAGACCTATTAGACTACTTGAAAAGAGTGTATGATTTGTCCACTTTCCCCATTTCTGTTTAACTTCATCGTAGATATGCTAATGGAAGTATCCTTAACTGAACGTAGTGACTTAGGAATCGACTTGTTACCAGGGAATAATCTAATGGACTTAGAATATGCAGATGACATAGTCCTGTTAGGGGAGGATGCTGACAAAATTCAGAGTCTTCTGAACACCTTGAGCAGCAATCTTCGTATGTTTGGCATGCGATTCGCCCCTGCAAAATGTAAGATGCTGCTACAGGACTGGACCACGTCAACCCCTAACTTAGTGATAGGGAGGGAAGTGATAGAACATGTTGACCACTTCACCTATTTGGGAAGTTGTATTAGCACCAACGGACTGATTGGCGATGAAATCTCAGCACGGATCCGAAAAGCTCGAGCTGCTCTCGCTGACTTACACCATCTCTGGCGTAGGCGTGACATCCGGTTATCAACCAAGGGATGTGTGTACTGCTCAGCAGTTCGCTCCGTCCTTCTCTATGGCTCTGAAACATGGCCAATACGCGTTGAAGACATGAAAAGGTTGACTGCTTTCGATCATAGATGTCTGCGATCTCTGTCTCACGTTAGGTGGTTTCACAAGATAAGTAATGTTGATGTTAGGCGTAGAGTGTTGGGCAAAGAGGGAAAATCAATCGACGAGGCTATAAAGTTACATAGATTGAGATGGTTAGGTCACGTGCTGCGCATGCCTAACCACCGCCTCCCCCGACGGGCTTTGCTAGCTGATATAGGCTCAGGTTGGAAAAGAGCCAGTGGTGGCCAAACAAAAACATGGCATCAATCCATGAAATCCTTGACAGTTAAACTGAGTCAGGTAGGGAGATGCAGACTCCCGGGTTGGGGCCCTCGGGACTCTAGGAATCAATGGCTGGAGACAATAGGTGACATGGCTCAAAATCGTTGTCAATGGCACAGATGTATTCAGTCTCTGTAATCTTTCATATTCCTTTCTACCATTACCCATTCTGTTTCACTCTTATACTTGTCAAACTCTATTAATTCTCTTCACTCATCTTCTTGTCTACCTCTGTGGGCTATTTGGAAGGTGGCAACTCGAACTGCTGCACTTCGGTGCCAAGTTCTATGTTGAATCCAGACAGACAGACAGACCAGGGAAATGGCCCTGATTAAAATTGTGGATTTCGTCAGGTAATCCACTAAGTCATCAGATACTCTTTGGCAGGCAGTTTTCAGCGATTTTAAATGATCTCCTGAGGATTAGCAAAGTAAATTAGTGGAGGGTGAGACAAGAGAACTATCTGTAAGATATGTAGGATGTGCACGCGTGACAGATATAAAAGAAAAGAACAGAACTAGACTAATCGAGGGTAGACGCAATAATAGAGATTACGACAAAACAGTAGGTTTCATATTTGTAACACTAGCACACTCACCAAGAACTAACATTTTACCCAACTGATGCATATAAACATAATATTCCGCGTGATTGTTTGGTCTTCTGATCATGCTGTCGATTGATGAAGAGATTGACACGTCATTGGGCAATGAATCCAATAGTTTGCGAACTGTAAGGGAAAAAGAGTTTAAACCTATTGCACTGCGACGAGCAGTTCTTCCTGAGTTGACGCTTGAAGTCTCTTTGACAAAATATGCCACGATCACTCAGATTCAGGCGGTGGTTAAGGAATTCAAGAGGATGTAGGACTAACTAGGTATGAACTTCTTTGTTTACCATCTATAGGGCTTTCTGTACCTACTGAATGATTGGTGCCTTTCCGCGTGTTCGAATAAGCTTTCCCACCCCACATGACAATTTGCGATAAAGATATTTCTGTCGATAACTATTATGTATTCAGAGGTGACAGAAACTATGACAGAGGAGGAAGATGTGCTGTGTATATTAGGTCTGATATTAAGGCCACACAGTGCTTCTACCCAGAGCTCATCACAGATAACGATCCCGTCTGGGCCATTCTAAGGCTGTCTTACCCCAATCCCTATCCTATAGTTTGCATCTATCACCCCCGTGCTCAACTGCTGAAGGTGATATGAAGCTTGCTAGCACGTTCGCTTACGCCACTTCACTACCTCACACGGCTAAAAATATATGTGGGAACTTTAATATGCCCGATGTAGTCTGGCGACCACTTTCCTCACCAAAACGGTACAATGAATTTATCAACACAATAAAAACAAAAGACTAGCAACAACACGTACAGCATCCTACCAGGCTACCTAAGATTTTAGATCTAGTCTTCATTAATGGTATCATCCCCACTACCCTTCGAATAGGTAAAGAGTTTCCTGGCAGCGACCACAGAGTAGTATTTGGTACATTCAATATTTGCACTAGCATGGGTTCGACAATAAGCGCCAACAAAGTATTACTCAGGGGTTACAGACATGCTCAGTGGGATGACCTGAAACCATACCTACGCACCCTAGACTGGGACCCATACTTTACATGCAGCTCGGCTATACAGACAAACAAATTACTCTATGAGAACCTAGGATTTGCACATGACTTCATCGCTCCAGTAAGACTTGTGAAAACGAGGCCTAAACAGCCCGACTTCATCCCGTAAAGATTAAAAACCGACTGAGTAAGCATGCTAGGCAATTCTAAAGATGTTTAATGACTTTTCATCACTCATTACACTCAAGCGAACTGATGATTCATATAAATCTAATTAGTTATCTGAGTCCATCAAACTAGAACGCATCCTCTACTCAAGACCTGATAATACAGAGGCATTAGTTAAACTAATTAAGTCACGAATTAACAGCAACAGAGTAAGTATCCCTAACTTATTACTAGGTGGAGAAAAACTACACGAAAACCCACAGGAGATATGTCAGTTATTCAGCTCTCACTTTTCTAGCTACTTTACTACCGAAGAAACAGTAGATAGTCTTGATGTTCCGCCAAAACCAAATCACTTTTTGGGTAATATAACATTCAGCCAACAAAAGATTTCCTCCGCTATAGCATCCCTCCGGACATCATATGACGCTGGACCTGATGGAATTCCATCCGTCTCGTTGAAAAGAGGTGGTGAGGACATACCCATTATGCTACTAAAGTTTTTCAATCTGTCCTTAAATAATGGCAGTTACCCAGAATGCTGGAAACCGTCGTTTATAACCCCTAGGCACAAACAAGGACCAACTTCTAACATCAAAAACTACCGACCGATTAATATCACGTCAGTAGTTTCCAGGGTTATGGAAAAGGTTATAGGGCAAGATATTGCTTCATTCCTTCACCTTCAGCACGACACGGCTTCTTGAAAAGTCGGTCATGCTCCACCTGCCTACTTGACCAATTTGATGATGTTACCGCTAAGCGTGATCATGATTCGCGTGCCGCAACTCTCTTCTTTGACTT